CACACACACACACCTCCCTTAGCGCATCCGGCCAACTATCACCCCTGCCCCTCCCTCCATGCCCCCTCCTGCTGGCCCTGCCGCGCTTGAAATCGACCCATCATTCGATTCTCAGCCCATACTTCAAAGCCCTCCTTCAGAATTGGACATGCCCAGACGCGCGGCTGATACGCATCAACGTGGCGGGCGCAGACGAACTCGGCGCGGCAGAGGCGATGCTGCGCTGCGCGTACTCCGGGGCGGCGCCCGCAGGCGCGGCTGCCGAGCAGCTGCTGGCCTGCATGGTGCTGGCTGACAGGTGGGGCCGCGGCCGGGGCGGCGCGGCCGCCGTTTGTTTCAGTCACTGCAGAGAACGGAGGGGCGATGGGGGTTGGTGTAGTCATTGGTCGCAGGCCAGGGAGAGTGGCGGCGGTGGTGCCAAGATTGTCAAGCAGCGGCCTGGGTACCCGCATGCCTCACCAGATCCAAGGCCCGCCCCGCGCCACACCCCGCAGGTATCAGCTGCGCCACTGCGTCGAGGCGTGCGGGCGCGCCATCCGGGCGCTCGATGGCGTGCGCGTCAGCTGGCCCGCGGCGCTGGCGCTGCTGCGCCTGCCGCCGGGGCTGCAGGAGGCGGCCGCCTTCAGCAGTCTGGCAGAGGTGCGACGCAGTCGTTTGTCCGCTCGGGCGTGGGGGGGGGGAGAGCGGTCCGAGGTTTTGTGGGGGTGAGAAAATGAGTTTGGGCGCACGCCGCTCATAAGACGGCCACGGCACCTCGCCCAGCGCGCCGGGCGGCGTGCCAGGCGGCGCGCACCGCGCCCGCCCTATCGCGTGGCGCGGCACCCAAAGCACGCACGCGCGCCACCTGCCCGCGCCGCCGCCCGCCCCGCTTTCCCAGAAAGCGTACCAGCGGGTGCGGGCCGACTTCCAAAACGTGGACGTCGCCTTCCAGCGCGCCCGCCTGCGGGCCGCGTTCCTGCAGCTGCCGCGCGGCGCGGTGGAGCACCTCCTGCGCGCGCAGGAGCTGTGCACGGTCAGCGAGAACACGGTGTTCCTGGCGGCGGCGAGCTGGCTGCGCGCGAGGGAGAGGGAGGCGGCGGTGGCAGCGGAGGAGGGCGGGGCGGGGGCGGAGGGTGGTGATGCGCTGGAACTGCTGAGGCTGGTGAGAGGGGCGACCTCAACATAGATGGACAACTGTCTGTGTTGTGGGGCGGTTGCGAGCTGACCGGGAAGGGGGGTGTGGCATAGGGAGGTAAACCAGAGGCAGGAGGCACACAGCGGCGGAGCCCACCGGCCGGCAGCCGTATCGGGACGAGCGGCGGCGCCCTGGCGCAGCGCGCTCGCCGGCTGAACCGGTTGGCGCCCAGTAAGAAGCCGCACTGGCGTAACCCTGGGGCCGTCCACCGTCAACCCTGCGTCGACGCCCGGCCCCGCCCTGCCCCCCGCCTCCTGCCAGGTGCGCTACCCCCACATGAGTGCCAACTTTTTGGCCGCAGTGGCCGGCCACGAGCAGCTGCTGCGGCGCCACCCTGACTTCCAGACGCGCCCGATAGCCGACCGGCCGCCGCACCTCGCACGGCCGCGGGGCCCCTCCTGCCACCCCTCTGGTGTTGTCCAGGGTGCACGTTTCTGTTGTCAAACATGGTGCTGGGAGAACGCGCTTGCGGATCATTTTGCCCATTCCAGGGTTATGTATGGCCACCAACCCAACACGCCCTGCAAGTCCAGCCTGGTAAAGAACCCCCAAATCTCCCCTGTCTCTTGGAATTCCCGCCCGCAGCTGTTTCTGCTTGAGGCAACCCAGTACTCGATGGCGAGCGAGCAGCAGCACGCCGCAATGCAGGCGCGCGCCGCGGCGCAACGCTTGGCTGAATTCTGCGCTTTGGGCTCACTGGCTGCATCAGCAACCGTCTGCCACGCAGATGCACATTAAACTGGCGTGCTTCTGGGCCGCCAGCGACCCCTGAGTCACCGCCTGCTTACACCACCCACCCACTCACCCCTCGCCCCCACGCGTTGCGCCGCCATGTTCGATTCCGGGCCCTGTTTTCCAGGCCGACCCTCGCGGCGGGCGGCTGCTGCCGCGCGCGCGCGGCAGCGAGGGCGCCACCAGCGCCTTCACCTCGTACATCGCGCGGGACGACCTGCACACCGCGATCAGCAAGTACCGGGCGAGCAGCTGCCGCGATGCTACCTCCTGACTGAGGGGCACTGCTGGAACGGCTTCACCTGGCGGCTCAAGGTTAGTGTGGTGGAGTGTAACGAAGTGTGTTTATGATGATATGGTTTCAGGGATGAGTGCGTGTGAGGGCACGCGAGTCCACGTGTTTTGGGGGGGTGCCCGTGCTTGTGTGTTTGTGTGTGTGCGTGTGCATGTGTGTGTGTGAGTGTGAGTCAGAGTGCGTGTGTAAGCATCATCAAGAAGCAAGCAGCATGCATCAACGGAATGCAGCAGACCCTCTGCTAGGACTGCTGGGCAGAAGCCAGGTGTCCTGCTGCAAAGCGCCGGGGTCGTTCCCACGCTTGTGTGGTCTCACATGAGGCCGCACTAGACAGCCACGGCCTCAGGCCAGCCGAAACATTCTCGTGCTACCATATCCGCTGGCCGGCGCGACCTCGGCCCCGCAGTCTTTGCGTTGATGAAGGTCCTCACCACGTCGACCCCACCCCTCAGTGCCGCCCCCATGCGTTATGCCCCCACCCCTTCACCCCAACCCCAGCTGACTGTGAAGACCCCAGACCCCGAGAGCGGCGTGGAGATGAACATCCACGTCGGCCTCTGCTGGAGCGTGGAGGTACAGTGCGCCGCGGGGCTCAGGGTTCGCGGATCCATCACCCTGTCATTAATGCTTACAGCACATCGTTGGCCGCTGCTGGAGCTTTAAGATGGGTGGGGGGGGGACGGCAGGTGACGGCGCGTCGATGCAAGCGCCAGCGACCCTCGATCGATGATGTGGGACACACGTGGCACGAGGCCCTGATGAGCTGCCATGGGTGTAGGCACACCCAAGCACCAGTTCGCCTGTGGAGCTGCTGCGCTGATGAACACCCGCAACCCAACCACGACACAACACACGGCAACGTGCCCTCAGGTCGCCGGGGAGACGCTGCTGCTGAGCGACACGGCAGTGGTGGCCGTCCAGTTCTCCATCTCGACTCACGACTTCACCACGAAAGAGGTGGGCTGTGGATGAGGGAGGCCAGGGGTGGGGTGGATGAGTGCATGGATGTTTCCTTGTGAGGGCAGCCGTAACCATGTGGTAGGCAGAGGGATGGCGCACCGCCATACAGCTTGTTAGCCTGGCCTATTTCCAGGCAACCTGCGACGCAATGGTCGGGCGCCTGTAGCAGTGGCGTGGCTGCGCCTCTCGCGCTGTTGACTCTCTAGCCTTGTCCCAACCACAACGCGCCGTTGCTGCGTCGCCGCGCCCTGCCCAGGAGGACCCCACGCACTCCGGCAGCCCTGTGCTCATCAGGGCCGGCACATGCTGGGGCTGGTGGGGCGCACGAGGGGGGAGCAAGGGGAATGTGTGTGCACGCACACATGCACGTGTTTGCGTGCGTGTGTGTGCGCGCATGCAAGCATGCGCGCGCGCGTGTGCGTGTGTGTTCCTGCGTGCGGCTGCGTATGCGGGTGTCTGCCTGCGTGTGCAGGTTTGGGGTTGCGTGATTGTGCCCAGTCAATTCAAGCCGCCAACATGCTTATGTCGCACCCAAACGCCTCCATGCCTCACAGGGACGACTTTTTCGGCCGCGATTGCACTGGCCTTGAGGAGGTGAGCTGTGTTGGGCCCTGATGCATTGCTCATGGAATGCACACAGGCAGTGAGGGCGCGCAACAGGCAGCGCGTGCATCTCGCCATGCATGCAGCGAGGCAAGCGACAGCCAGCGGGGGGCTGCAGGCAGCTAGCCCACAGGCTGCCACCAAGCAACGCAGTGTCCCCTGGATCTCCTTATCTCTCCTTAGCATGCGACCTCGCAGGACATGACAAATCTTTAGATAGTCCTTACCCCTCCCTTACAGCTCCCTACAGCAGACCCCCAAGGACAGGATAACGGAAACTCCTGTTGTTGCAGTGAAGCGTGTACCTTGGCTCCCCTGGCTGCTGGCCCCTTCCAACCTCCATCCCCTTACAACCGTTGCCCGCAGCTCTCCAAATGGATGAACCCCAAGGGGCAGATGCCCATGACCTGCCAGCTGTACTCCTGTGGATGAGGTCCCTCCCCAGACGATGCTGACGCCAATTCTGGCCAGGCCACGAGCAAGCCTGGGGTACACCCTTGGCCTGGTTTTCCCACGAGGCTGATTCCCTGGCGGCAATCAAAATTCTGTCAGCGCGCCCTTCGCCACAGGCGCACACCCTTCGAGGGCGTTGGCGCATGCGTGTTTTTGAGCTCATCGTGCAATTCTTGACCCAACCATGCGGGTGGCCCCCGCCCTTGCCGCCTGAACTTTGTTGTTGAGTTTTTTTTAGGCTGCACACCAGCGAACACCTACCCACCGACATTGCCCACTTGCTTTGCAGCCCCGCCCGCCACACGCCCCACCCACCAACAATGGTTGGGCGTTACGCACTGGCCTGTTCCTCAAACAAACGCGCTGGACGTTTCGACCCCTTCCGCCAAGTGGTGCAGCAGCCTAAGTGCTTAAAACATTCATCACATCACACAGCCTCATTCATTGCGCGCCCGCACCCCCCTTCCCGGGTCCCCAGCGGACCAGGACCCTGAGAACGGGTCTCCATGCTACGCAACTTTGTAATCGTGTTGATACACGGCTGCATATCAGGCTGTGAGGCATCCAGTGCATCCGCTGTCTCTTGTACGGTGGGCACCTGGCAGCACTACGCAGCCCGCCCATCCCTGCCTGAGATCAGCTCACAGACTGCCGCTTGGTGTGCCCGTTTGACTTGCTGCCATTGAGCTGGGCAGCCTGCCCTTACCATATGGCTGGTCGGGCATCTCTCAGAATGATTTCAAACTGCGCACTCTGGTCTATGTCCTGTATCCAGCTGCTGGGTGCCCGGGTGCCCAGGAGCCCGATGCAGGGCGTGCTCATGACGGCCAACCTGACGGCTCTCACGGCCCAGTATGGGGGTATGGGGCCCCTTGTGCGCTGCTGCGTGTGTGCCCAGCAGGGGAGTAGCGTAGCTGCTACCCTGTCCCCTGTGACTTGGAAAGCTTGCTTGATGTTCATTTACCAGGATTTCAAGGCATGCCCTTTGGATTGGTAATCTCCATCCAATTGCGTGATACAGAGAGCTACTGTTGCGACACAACCGCCACGTCTTGATGTGATCTGCGGCCTCATCACTCATTTGCCAAAGTCACAGTACACCTCGATGTTACGGCATCCCTAGTAGGCGTACTTGCGGCCTGGAGACAAAGAGGGTCGCTGCAGGCACTGCTGAAGGCGATCCAATGGCTACCTACGCAGCCACAGTACAGGTAAGCACGCTGGGATCTTTCAAGTAAATTGAATCCCATGTTTCGCCGTGCTGCTCTGGCTGAGCACCTCAGCAATGCGTCTGACACCGCCCGATGTGCGCACTGACGTCTATCGCTGCCAGGCGCTGCTCGCTGCACTGGCCGCCCTCTACGCCGCGAGCTTCACCTCGCTGCTGCTGCAAGGCCCCAGCCTGTTTGGCAGCGGCGGCCTGGTGCCAGTGGAGGCGTACCTGAAGGTGCAGGCTGAACAGCTCATCGGCAGCGCGGACTATACCAGGTACGCGGCAGCTGCTCCTCCCCTCCCCCCCCCATCCCCACATGACGGCCAACTGCTCCCTGTCGTGCTCTGCTTGCCCAACAGCGCCTCTCGCCTCGCACGACCACCGCTGTCACAGCAACGCTGCCGCTGAGGGCCTCCGTCCGCCGCTGC